AGCCATAGTTTACCAGAAAAAGATAATATTTGTAGCTCAGGGTTGAAATGAGGGGTCCTTGGTGGTTTTCTTGTAGATGTTTCATTACCAAACTAGGTAACATCATCAGTGCTAGAAGGGACAAAAGTTTGCTCTTATTTTTATATACTACTGGCTTGCCCTGTCAGTGTTGGTGGGTGTGTTCTTAGTAGTTTCTTGATTAAGCTGTTGTTTACTGCTAGCTAGTTTGTCTGAATTGATAGTTCCTTGACTGAGGTATCGTTTGGTTCTTGATTGTTGGCCTAGTGTCAATCTTAGTGTTAATTCTGCTCATATGGATGTTGATTGCTGGTGAGGAGGTGTTTTGGTCTTTTTGTTGCCTTTTGGGCTTTTTGATGGTCTCCTTTGTTGTTGTTGTTTATGTGCCTGCTGGTGGCTGATCTTTCTGAGAGCCAGGCTTCCAGAAACTCTCTGGCATTTTTGGAGTTGGCTTGATCTAGGATGCTGACAGTTTTCCAGCTGGAACTATGGATGAGTTGTTCGTGTGTTGGGAAATTAAGGATTAATACCAAGATTAACACTAGACCAGGGGTAGGCAACCTTGGCTCTTTTATGACTCGTGGACTTCAACTCCCAGAATTCCTGAGCCAGCATGGCTCAGCTTGGAAACTCTTCCTTTCCCCTCAGCACGGCTGGCTCAGGAATTCTGGGAGTTGAAGTCCACGAGTCCTAAAAGAGCCAAAGTTGCCTACCCCTGCACTAGACCAACAATCAAGAAGTAAACAAGACCCCGATCAAGGAACTACCGATGTCGACAAGCCAACAAGTAAACAACTGCCTAATCAAGGGACCAGCAACAATGAAAGGGCAAGCCACTTGTATATAAACAGGGAGCAAACCCTTCTAGGCACTGATGATGTTACATAGTTGAGTAATGAAATGTCTCAAGAAAACAACCAAGCTCAGAGAGCACCAAGGACCCCCCCCCCCGTCCTCCTCCTCCTCCCTGCAAACCTCACTCCCATCTAGCACTGATGGTATTACCTAGTTGGGTCATGAAACGTCTGCAAGAAAACCAAGCTCAGAGAGCACCAAGGACCCCACAGTCATTGCCCTCCTCCTCCTCCTCCTCCTCCTCCTCCTCCTCCTCCTGCCTCCCTCGCTCTCTCCATTTTTACTCCCCTCTCCTCCTCCTCCACTCAGCAACACTGAAGATGTTACCTAGTTGGGTCATGAAACGTCTGCAAGAAAACAAGCAAGCTTAGAAAGCTATAGTTTAGCCTGGCAGATAAGCCACTCCAATCTTTGTCTAAACTAGACTTCTGATGTGTGGGATACCGGGTAGATATTTCCTCTTACTCTAAAATAGCCCAGCACTGTCTGTTTTTAGAATAAAATTAATTAGTAACATAATGAACCTAAATAATGCCTGTCAAATTTGCTGGCTGGAACAGAAACAATGCTAGACAGATATATAATTAAAATTGTTTTCCTCCAGCTTGTTACTCTTGGGAAGCAAATGCGCCATGCAGCTTTTTCAGCAGGGCAAAATCCATTCGGTTCGCTTTCCTACGAAGTAAGAAGGGCAATTAACCCCCCTCCCCCCCGGCTTGGTTTAGAACTGGGGTGGGGAACGAGAGCGTCTTTCATGACTTGTGGACTTCAACTCCCAGAATTCCTGAGCCAGCCAGTTGAAGTCCACAAGTCATAAAGGGGCCATCATTCCCCACCTCTGATTTGGAAGGATCCCGGAGCCTCCTTCCAAAAAATACCGTTGGGTGAGTATAGACCAGGGGCTCTTCAAAGTTGGCCCTTTTATGACTTGTGGACTTCAACTCCCAGAATTCCTCAGCCAGGCACGCGTGCCTGGCTGAGGAATTCTGGGAGTTGAAGTCCACAAGTCATAAAAGGGCCAACTTTGAAGAGCCCTGGTATAGACATTTGTTAACTGAGTTTTGCTCCATTTGATGACCTTTCTTGCCGCCGTTGTAAAGTGAATCACTGCAACTGTTAAAGTTAGTAACATGGTTGTTAAATGAATCTAAAATTGATCCACAGCCAGCAAGGTGTGGTTCCCTCCAATGAACAAATCTGTTCTGCCCCATCTCGAGGGCTGGAAGTGGCATCTCCGTAGCCTGGTTAAAATTTAGTCAAAATTCATTGGTTGTGATTTTTTTGGATTTGGATTGCAAAAAGGTCTCTGCGAGCAGGAGTTTTGAAAGCTTCTTTGCTGGAGCAGTTGTTAAATAAATAAATTTAAAAAAAGGAGAAACCCCAAGACCATGGAACACTCTGCAAATTAAGAGCAGCAAAAATAAATAGCAACACCGCTTAATATGATGGGTTTTCCTCTATCCGTCTGACTGCCAACTTAAGCATTTGGCCCACCAGCTTTCATTCTGTTTTTTTTTTTTTTCCCCTGCATAATCCCTTCCAGGCAATAAAAATAGACGCACAAATATACTTACTCTGAAATGACACATTCACTGCTTAGAGCAGGGGGTGGGGAACTACAGCCCCTTTATGACTTGTGGACTTCCAACTCCCAGAATTCCTGAGCCATGCTGGCTGAGGAATTCTGGGAGTTGCAAGTCCACAAGTCATAAGGGGGCTGTAATTCCCCAGCTCTGCTTTAGAGAGTGGGAACTGGGGAATGGAGAGAAGGAGGGTGTAGTTTCAAGTCAGAGGACAAGCTTGGTTTGCAGAAGACCCTGGTTGTGATCTCCTGCACCTCCAGGTAGATACGAAGCGCCTCTTCCTCAAGTCCCAGAATGCTACTGTCAGTCAAGGCCCACCAGCCTTCTGCATCAGATGGACCCCAGGTATGTTGTTCTGCAGATTCTACCTTTCCCAATTGCAAGCCCATTGAGAGCACTGGGAGGTAGGGACCAGCTCAACTGGTGTAGAACATGTTTTGACAGAATTTGCACACTCCTCTGAGCTATGCTTTGTTTACGCACAGTTCACTGATTGAAAAACTATTGATTCAGTTCACCCAAAGCAGTAATTCATAAATCATGGTTTACGCAGGCAAAACCAGACGAACCACATGATGGCTCAGCACGTTAGGTAAACATCTGAAAAAGATCAGATTAAAGGGAAGCGGTCTCTCCAACAACGCTAGAACATCTCCCTTTTCTTAGCTCCCTCCTTCAGCTCCTTTTAAGTTGTGAGTGCTCCGTCACTGAAGGCTTTTAAGAAGAAACTGGAGAGCCACTTGTCTTGAGATGTTATAGGGTTTCCTGCCTGAGCAGGGGGTTGGACTAGAAGACCTCCAAGGTCCCTTCCAACTTTATTATTGTTATTATCTCCCCTTTCTTAGCTCCTTCAGCTCCTTTTAAGTTGTGAGTGCTCCATCACTGAAGGCTTTTAAGAAGAAACTGGAGAGTCACTTGTCTTGAGATGTTATAGGGTTTCCTGCCTGAGCAGGGAGTTAGACTAGAAGACCTCCAACGTCCCTCCCCACTCTGTTATTCTGTTATAATCTTGGACGAATGGAGGGTGGAGAGTGAAGACCATTAGATCATGTCAAGGAAAAGCATATCCATTCAGTGTTTCCTGACTGGCCACTCACTACAGGATGAGCGAAGGCTGGACTAGAGGGACTTCAAATCTCCACTGACTTCTGCTCCCCAGAGGCTGAGGATGAGGACCAGAAGAGGAATCTACCTCAAAGGGCTAAGACAATCCTTGGATGAAAGCAGAGGAAAAGAGGAAAGCCATTTTCTCTTCCCCAATCACCCCCTCCATCCTTTTAAATGTTTCTCCCTGGATGCCTTGCCAAGGTTAATACAATGCCAAGAGCAGATCTTGGCTTATTCACTCCGTCCTCTGGGGAGCCAGCTATAATATCTAGTTCAGGAAGACCTTTGGACTGGAGGGAGTCGCTCTGTGCCAAAGAACCCGTGAGTTTTGAGCTCTTTTTTCACCTTCAGGACGTCCCCAGAACCCATCTTCTCCATCTGCCGTCAATTACCATCAGGAGCCGCTGACAACAAAGTTTATAGCCAGTGCCAGTGGTTATAAGTAGAATCTGCCAGCTTCGCAAAACACAGCAGAACCCATGATGGGAATGTAATGCCCACAAATAGGGTTGAAACCCGTGGAATTCTCTCTGGCAGGGGATGCCAGTCCCTCTCTGAAGTCACTGCCTGTTCGGGAAGTGAGAAGAACCAGCCTGCAAGAACCAGCCAGGTGCCAAATGATATTCTACTTCTATACGTAGACTGTGCGGTCCGGCAACCCAAAGGAAGACTGCTCCTTTAAGACCTCCTAAATTGCTTTAGAACAATAAGGCAACACTATCTCAGAATGGTAGAGCTGCAAGGGACCTCAAGAGGTCTTCTAGTCCAACCCCCTGCTCAAGCAGGAAACTCTATACTATTCCAGATAAATCTCCTCTTAAAAGCCTCCAGTGTTGGAGCACCCACAACTTCTGGAGGCAAGCTTTTTCCATGAATTCATTGTTCTGTCAGGAAATTTCTCCTTAATTTTTAGATTGTCTCTCTCTAGAATTTAGTCTAGAGTTAATCTAGAAGTTCTGTTTCCTGCTTGGCCATATTTTAAATCCACTTTTTCCTTCTGCTAAACAACTGACTAGGAGCTCACTTTTCTGGCTTCGAGGTCTGATAATTTGTACACGAATAGTCCTATATTTCTGTTGCTAAGCGAGACACTTGTTAAGTGAATTTTGCCCCATTGTATGACTTTCTGGCCGTGATGTTTAAGTGAATCACTGCAGTTGTTAAGTTAATAACACGGCTGTTAAGTGCATCTGGTTTTCCCATGGACCTTCGTTGTCCGAAGGTTGCAAAAAGGAATCACATGACCCCGGGACACTGCAACCGTCATAAGTACATGCCAGTTGCCAAGGGTCGGAATTTTGATCACGTGACCCTGGGGATGCTGCAACAATTGTAAGTGTGAAAATCGGCCATGTCATTTTTTTCAATGTCATCGTAACGTTGGTCATTGAATGAACTGTTGTAAGTTGAGGACTGTCTGTATTAGCTACTTCCCACCTTTGCTTAAGGATGTCGTGCATCGTTTTTCCTTTCCATGTTTCCCACCCCAGCAACCACCTTCTAGAGGAGCTTGGTTGACTTCCAGGGAGTTCCCATGGATGAAGATGGCCTTCATGGAGTTCCCCTGTTCCTGGTCCAACATCTTAATGGAAACACCACAGTGGCTTTGTGCTTATTTGTCTCTTTCTTAGCCAACGGAAGGTCATGATTTTGTTTTATGTCATTTTCCAGCCAATTCTGCTGAACGCTGAATAGCAACCATTCTGCATCTTCTCCAGACCTTGAATTGACCTTGTCCTTCTCTTTGACCAAGTCAAATGTTCAAAATTCCCACAATCACAGACCTTGGGACTAAGGTTTTGTGAGGACAGGGAGGGTGTAAGAAACCACCCCAGGTCTTACTCTAGAACAGGGGTCTTCAAACTTGGCCCTTTTATGACTTGTGGACTTCAAGTTAAAGTCCACAAGTCTTAAAGCTGTCAAGATTGGACACCCCTGCACTAAACCCACCTGCTTTATTCATCTCAAGCGTGAAAAGAACTGAAAGAGCAAAGGCCTTTGGGACTTAGGGTAGATTGAACCAGAGCATCAATCCTTCAGGGATGGAGCATTTCACGCGGATCACAAACCGCCATTCCCACTGACAGCTCTTCCCTCTCCAACTTCAGAAGCTACCAGGTCCCTCTGGAGAAAGCAACTGGATCTTATGCAACTGAAACGAAAACACCGTTTGATGGTTTTATTTAGCAAAGCGATAAAACGCTGCAGCATCCTTCCCTCCATAGCTACCTGCAACGTATCGACCATCTGACCTATCCATATATTGATCATCTTAATATTAAACATCAGGCATCTTCTGCACGGAATACATTTGAAATATTTAGGGGAGGGGGAAAAAAACACAGCTAAGTTGCATTTTGTCAAAGGCAAGCAGAAAGTGAAAAGGTATTTTGGCAATTTGAAGACGTGGCCTCTTCTTTTTTTAAAAAAAAAATGAAAAGCTTAAAGAGAGAAGAAGCCAAAAAGTGATAAAATTAGCTCCAGGTGATTCAGTGGTGACTTCTGCACTTCAAAATAAGAGGTGAATTGTCAACTTCATTAAAAACACTTTGGAATTGTTCTACTTTGAGTTGTGTTTAGCACTCAGGGCTGACTCGCCAGTTCCAGAAACATCAATGTTTTTAAGTTTCGGATCAATCAATCGCTTGTCGTGGGCAAAGCACACAAAATCCTGTTATGACACACTTACATGGAAAGCCCCCCCTTTTCATCTGCAGGTTAGCACGGACAGCGGTCCAGTTCAAACACAAAATGCCTTAAAACCTATTCATTTGCTCAGCATCCATTTCCAGAGAATCTCTCCAGCAGAAACATAAACTCGAGTTTTAAGCCACAAAAAAAAAAAAAAGCAAAGCAAACAGCACAGGTTGAAAAAAATAAACGGTTTAATTGACCTGGATCAATCCATTATGCAAATCCAACCTATACAGCAAACATACCGAAAATCTAACGTATTTAAAATGCTTTCATGGGGAAAACATGGAAAATTAACAACTGTCCTCTGATTACCTAAGCGTTTCCTCTGCTGTATTTTTCATTCTGTCTGTGTTTTAACTTTTCCCATGTCCCCAAAATACTTGAGTTCTTGTCCTGTTGTGCAACATCCTGCAGAAAAACTGGGTTAAGCCCATAAAATGGAGCATGTCAACCTACGTTGCAAGGCGTTTATCAAAGCACTGAACTCACTAACAAACTAATTAAAAGCCGATTGAATGAATCACCTGAAAATCAAAGCAAAGGGCAGACTTAAAAGCTACTGACTGCAAAAACAGCACTTCCGACAGCTTCCCCCCCCCCCCCCNCCCCCCCCCCCCCGCAAAAAAAAGCGACAATCAAATATTTCCAAATTTGAGCCTGAAGGCAGCAGTGTTTTCCCTCTGTTTCATTCTGGAAAAATGATACGTTGCTTCTAAATATAGACGATCCATTCAGATAATATGGAGAAAATCTAGCCTGGATCTATCAAATTCATTTTTAAAGCCGTCTTCAACCACAGGCAATTACCACATCTTACGCCAATGAATTGTGTGCGTTCATTAGGAGTTGTATGCAGTTGATTGTGGCTGCGGGTCCTTCCTGAATCTGCTGATGGGTCAGTTTAAATTGAGTTCCTCCACAGTGCAGTGTAACTGGGGAAAAGTCTCTTATCTACTTCATCCTCCTGGTTTTCACCCCTGTTTTTATTGTCAATATTATCCACTGCCACCGCAATTTGTAGCCGTGGATCATGGCGAAATAAAACATAATATAAGTCTGCATAAATCACTGCATCATACCTTTGCAGCAAGGCAGAAATGGGTTATCGAACAAGAAACGAATGGTTGATGGATCACACAGCAGAAACATCACTTGTAAAGCTTAATCTAGGTGGTAAGAAAAGGAGGGATACGTCTGGTCCAGCTTCATTCATGCCATTCATCTTTTGATAAAACTTCCCTGCAGCTGTTCTTCAGCTACGATTATTTTTCCTTTCACAGCACGCAGCTATATGAGACAACTACATTAAGCACTGTTTTTCGGGTCATGCACAAGATACAGAACAACATATTCTGCTGTACCCTTACACAACATTCATGCAGTGAAACGGAAAAGAAGCAGCAACTGAATAGAACCAAAACATTTCAGTATAGCTTCAATATTAAGACACTGTACATTTGGGGGAGTACCATCCAGTACATCAGATGTTTTTTTAAAAAACGCAATAAAGAAATTCTGAGTTACAAGTATACAACCTTATGCAGGAAGTCCTTGACTTATGCCCACAATTGAGCCTCAAAATTATGTTGCTAAGGGAGAAATTTGTTACGTGCATTTTGCCCCATTTTACAACTTTTCTTACCACAGTTGTTAAGTGAATCATTGCAGTTGTTAAAGTTAGCAACCAGGTTGTTAAGTGAATCTGGCTCCCCCATTGACTTTGCTTGTCAGAAGGTCACCAAAAGGGGATCACATGACCCCAGGACACCGCGACCGTCATAAATATGAGTCGGTTGCCAAGCGGCTGAATTTTGATCACGTGACCCTGGGGATGCTGCAAGGATCATTAAGTGTGAAAAATGATCATAAGTCATTTTTCTCCAATGCCCTTGTCACTTCGAACGGTCACTAAATGAACGGTTGTAAGTCAAGGACTACCTGTATACCTGAAACTCAAAGAGAACATCTCAGGCACTATCAGAATTGCTTCTGCTGCAAAAAACAACAACTTTATAGTGCTATAAAATGGTCACGCTTTGAAACGATACAAGATCTTGACTGCATTTGATAGGCATACAGTATAATTTCTTCCTTACCAATGTTTTGATATTCATCAAGGCAAAGGAAAGTTTTGGAAAATGATAACTAGTGAGGCTCATAAGGTCCACCCACAGGCGTATCAAAGGAAGGGACTCTACAGGGGATCTGGTTCAGGAGACAGCTCGGCAATGAATATGATCGATAACTGAGGTTGATGGGACTTGTAGTCCAGCCCTATCTGGAGGACAATAGCGCAGAAACTTTTGGATGGTGCCTATGTAATTAGCACACAAAATGTGCACAAAACATAATATTGTTATTGTAATGGGGAGGGATGGCTAGTATTTCTGTCCCCCCCCCCATTGTTTGTGTCACATTCCAAGATACAATAACGAAAAGTAACTAACTTTCCTGCAGAAAAATAAATAAGTCTAAATTGGATTTGTGGATGAAATTTGCATTCAACGCGGCTAAAAAAACGAAACAGCAAAGCACCCCCTTAAAAAAACCGCCCTTTTCAGGTGCAACAAAAATTGGTTCCTGTTAGTGCAAAGGACCAGCGATGCAACTTCGACAAAGGCGAACAGGAAATGGGCACACGCAAACCTGCTCGAATACAAAGGACGTCTTAACAGACTCAGATCACACCGGGTTTGTGGTTTGTCCCAAGCATTTCATTCTTAAGAGAACTCCAGTAAAATCCTGTCCATCTTTTCTTTCAACAACTTCCATAGATCTGGCTATGCTGGACAGCTACAGCCAATCCAGCGTTATGTAAAGTGGTTTCTTGATCAGAACCAAATAATGCTTAAACCCGTGGAATGTAGGTTTCCAGACTAACACACACATCTAGCCAGGTGCTACAACCAGGAAAAATATACAGGGGAGGGGGGAGATAGAGGAGGGTTTTAAAGTCTGTGTCCTAAAGAAAGGCCTATTTTTTTCCCCCTCTCTGCTCCTATCAAATAATCCGTAAGCATCCAGCTTGAAGAGCTGTTCAGTGGAGCACAAAAACCCGGCACAGTCCAAGAAGCAGCTAAGGGCAGGCTTGATCAAATGCTTTTCCTCGCATCTCAAAGAATTGGAGAGACTTTTCTCTCGCACGCAAACGAGCAGGAGCAGTTCCTGGACCGGTTACATCAGAGGTGTGCGGTTCAGAGGTGGGGGGGGCTTGTTTAGGTCCATACCGGGTGCATCGGTAAGTAAATCAATGATGGGGGTACCAGGGCAGCAAAATGTATTTGGTTGAATACTTAATTAATTAAGTCAAGCATGAGCATTGTTCCCCACTGGAAAAGCTGCTACCAGGTCCCTTCTGGGTTTTGTTTGGGTTGGTGTTGTTTTTCTTCCAGAGACTAATGTGAATCTCCCACCTTATCGCTTCCTGTGCATTTGACCGTTTCCCTTTCTGCCCAATGAAAAAAGGAATGTTGCAGAATTTGAAGGCGCTCTAAGCCCACCCCCTGGAGAATGCTTGTGGCCTTGGACCTTCAACTCCACCACGTCCCTCATTTAAATGAGCATCTAGATCAGGGGTAGGCAACCTTGGCTCTTTTATGACTCATGGACTTAAATTCATAAAAGAGCCAAGATTGCCTATTCCTGATCTAGAGAAACCCCGGTCCTTGCTATGATACGGAAGCAGTTCTTGATACGTTTGTTTCTCTCTCTCTCTCTCTCTCTCTCTCTCTGTGTGTGTGTGTGTGTGTGTGTGTGTGTGTCCTTTCTGGTGGTGCTAGAGATTGTGTCCCAAACCACCAAGTTACACTTGGGAGAAAACTTCCATCCTCCCCTCCAAAAAAACAAAAACCCATCCTCTCCCATCCCCCCCCACACACACCTATA